TGGAAAACTGTTATGTTGGTTTTGCACCGAAACAGTGCACACCCTTCAAAACGCACGAAATGGAGTCTTTCAAATCTCTCAGGAGAACATGCCAACGTCCCCCTAGAATAGCTCCGTCGCTAGTAAAAAACAGCTTTTACCTCTTACTTTCCGCTCCCTCCCATGTCATTAATTGGACACAACCTCGGTTTGGGCCTTCAGCGGGGCTCTCTTGACTTGGTTTCGGCGTCACGCAATACGTTACTACACAGTTCTCGATTTTGATTAAATGAACCTGTTAGCCCAAACCTCTTGTTGCATGTTTATTGAGATGGAGTTTTTAATTGGCTCTTACTTAATCATTTGAAGCTGAGGAAAGGAAAACACCGCCTTGTTGCTTGGCAGTGAGGAAGTACAGACCACAGCTAATTAAAACACTTACGTACAAGGAAAGGTGAGACCTGTAAACCCAATCTGTCACGAGTCAGTTTTCTCAGGCGGCATTTAAATCATTTATGGTCCATTTTGCAAAACAGTAATTCTTCCAAAATTACTGCCTCGCGAAATAAACTTAGAAGACGTTTATATAGGTGAAGATAGCTTAGACCTTTTGAGATTTGATAGTGCTTTAAATTGAAACTTACCGAAAACCTATTGTATGACACGAGAATAACAACATCGTTACCGCTGAGTGAAAATAGCCTAGCTATTACGCAAAACAGTAATTTTTCTGACATTACTACTTTGAGAAATTAATTATATCTGGATAGAGAAAGAGGAGGTGACCGAACCCTTCGAGAATATACTATAATGAAATGTTTAAGCGTATTTTTGTGACCCAAAAAGAAAGTTATTGAGGGGTAAAAATAGTCCATTTCGCAAAATAGTAACTCTCCTAAAATTACTATTTTGCGAAATAAATTTTGAAACGGTTTAAGAAATAAGAGGAGGCCAAGATGTTCGGTGATATACTAATTTGTAATGTTTAAATGTATTTTTGTGACATGAAAGAGGTCACGTTGTCACCGCAGGGTGAAAATAGTCCATTTCGCAAAATAGTAACTCTCCTAAAATTACTATTTTGCGAAATACATTTTAATACGGTTTAAGAAATAAGAGGAGGCCAAAATGTTCGTTGATATACTAATTTGTAATGTTTAGATGTATTCTCGTGACATGAAAGAGGTCACGTTGTCACCGCAGGGGTGAAAATAGTCCATTTCGCAAAATAGTAACTCTCCTAAAATTACTATTTTACGAAATGAATAAAAATCCTTCTTGTTAATGAACGATTACTCCAAAATCCTTGCGAAAGTTATCTTTACCTTATTAGAAAATATATCTGCATTATTTCTTTTGTTTTATTTCATCTGACCCGATTTCGTTTCGTTTCGTTTCGTTTCGTTTCGCAAAATAGTATAAGCCCGAAAAATGCAACGCGACCACAGAAGCCACATGGGAATCCGTGTCGGTCTGTCTTTACCTTTATTCTTAAATTTCCATTTCTATTGAAAAATTATAGATCGGTGTTTGGAGGTCAAATATTCCAACGAGCTTACTAAATCGAAAAAACGAGGCTTATACTATTTTGCGAAACGAAACGAAACGAAACGAAACGAAACGAAACGAAACGAAACGAAATCAGGTGAGATAGAACAAAACTAAAGGAATAATGCAGATATAATTTCTAACAAGGTGAAGAAAACTTTCACAAGGAATTTGGAGTAATCGTTCATTAACAAGAAGGATTTTTATTCATTTCGCAAAATAGTAATTTTAGGAGCGTTACTATTTTGCGAAATGGAATTTTTCACCCTGCGGTGACAACGTGACCTCTTCCATGTCACAAAAATACATTTAAACATTACAAATTAGTATATCACCGAATATTTTGGCCTCCTCTTATTTCTTAAACCGTATTAAAATGTATTTCGCAAAATAGTAATTTTAGGAGAGTTACTATTTTGCGAAATGGACAAGTTTTACTCAGCGGTGACTAACGTAACCTCTGAAATGAAATAAAGCAAAAGAAATAAAGCAGATATATTTTCTAATAAGGTAAAGATAACTTTCACAAGGATTTTGGAGTAATCGTTCATTAACAAGAAGGATTTTTATTCATTTCGCAAAATAGTAATTTTAGGAGAGTTACTATTTTGCGAAATGGACCATTTTCACCCCTCCGGTGACAACGTGACCTCTTTCATGTCACGAAAATACATTTAAACATTACAAATTAGTATATCACCGAACATTTTGGCCTCCTCTCATTTCTTAAACCGTATTAAAATATATTTCGCAAAATAGTAATTTTAGGAGAGTTGCTATTTTGCTTGACCTCTTTCATGTCACGAAAATACATTTAAATATTACATTATAGTATATTCTCAAAGATCTTGGTCACCTCCTCTTTAATGTAGTAATTTCTAAACTAATTGAATGTAGTAATTCCGAAAAATGTTTATTTTGCGAAATGGATTATTTACACTCGGCGGGCGGGAACTCGAGAATAAGGGCGAAGGGATTGTTGCAGATTCCCTTGAACTTCACAATGTTTGGATGTTTCAACTCTTTAATGATTCTTGCTTCCTTTACAAACGTTTTCCTATCCAATATGTCCTCGCCAAGCAATTTCTTAACGACGACTTTCTCCGCAGCGGCCGATTTCCCACCCGCATCAGGAACAGTCTGCCAGTTAGCAGTGAACACAGCAGCATAATAAGCCCTTACCAATGATTTCCTTGTTTGTCAAACACTTGAAATCATGAACTGGAAGACCTGAACAGTCGATGGTCTTGGGCTTAAGAACAGGAAATTTAAAAGCCATAATCTTGCCTGATTTAGCAGCACACAAAGCGAGCACAAAGCGAACTTCTTGCAGCACGTGGAACTTGCGCAAATGCGAAACACGATCTCTTGCTCGTAAGGAAAAGGTGTGCGACGGGGGTGTAATCAGAAGCGCGTAACTTTTCCATGTATATTATTTTTATTAAAAATTTGGAAGCAAAGTAACTGTATTACTTGCGATTATAAAACTGCTGGACGACTATTTAGGCATGGGTATGCTTCTGTTCTCTATACGAGACGGAGAGTCTAAACATGTTTAGCCGCCACTGGAAAACTGTCATGTTAGTTTTGCACCGAAACAGTGCACACCCTTCAAAACGCGCGAAACGAGTCTTTCAAATCTCTCAGGAGAACATGCCAACGTCCCCCTAGAATAGCTCCGTCGCTAGTAAAAACAGCTTTTACCTCTTACTTTCCGCTCCCTCCCATGTCATTAATTGGACACAACCTCGGTTTGGGCCTTCAGCAGGGTTCTCTTGACTTGGTTTCGGCGTCACGCAATACGGTCGATTGTCGATTTTGATTAAATGAACCTGTTAGCCCAAACCTCTTGTTGCATGTTTATTGAGATGGAGTTATTAATTGGCTCTTACTTAATCATTTGAAGCTGAGGAAAGGAAAACACCGCCTTGTTGCTTGGCAGTGAAGAAGTACAGACCACAGCTAATTAAAACACTTACGTACAAGGAAAGGTGAGACCTGTAAACCCAATCTGTCACGAGTCAGTTTTCTCAGGCGGCATTTGAATCATTTATGGTCCATTTTGCAAAACAGTAATTCTTCCAAAATTACTGCCTCGCGAAATAAACTTAGAAGACGTTTATATAGGTGAAGATAGCTTAGACCTTTTGAGATTTGATAGTGCTTTAAATTGAAACTTACCGAAAACCTTTTGTATGACACGAGAAGTAACGACATCGTTACCGCTGAGTGAAAATAGCCTAGCTATTACGCAAAACAGTAATTTTTCTGACATTATTACTTTGAGAAATTAATTATATCTGGATAGAGAAAGAGGAGGTGACCGAACCCTTCGAGAATATACTATAATGAAATGTTTAAGCGTATTTTTGTGACCCAAAAAGAAAGTTATTGAGGGGTAAAAATAGTCCATTTCGCAAAATAGTAACTCTCCTAAAATTACTATTTTGCGAAATAAATTTTGAAACGGTTTAAGAAATAAGAGGAGGCCAAGATGTTCGGTGATATACTAATTTGTAATGTTTAAATGTATTTTTGTGACATGAAAGAGGTCACGTTGTCACCGCAGGGGTGAAAATAGTCCATTTCGCAAAATAGTAACTCTCCTAAAATTACTATTTTGCGAAATATATTTTAATACGGTTTAAGAAATAAAAGGAGGCCAAAATGTTCGGTGATATACTAATTTGTTATGTTTAAATGTATTTTCGTGACGTGAAAGAGGTCACGTTGTCACCGCAGGGGTGAGAATAGTCCACTTCGCAAAAAAGTAACTCTCCTAAAATTACTATTTTGCGAAATACATTTTAATACGGTTTAAGAAATAAAAGGAGGCCAAAATGTTCGGTGATATACTAATTTGTAATGTTTAAATGTATTTTTGTGACATGAAAAAGGTCACGTTGTCACCTCAGGGAGAAAATAGTCCATTTCGCAAAATAGTAACTCTCCTAAAATTACTATTTTGCGAAATATATTTTAATACGGTTTAAGAAATAAGAGGAGGCCAAAATGTTCGTTGATATACTAATTTGTAATGTTTAGATGTATTCTCGTGACATGAAAGAGGTCACGTTGTCACCGCAGGGGTGAAAATGGTCCATTTCGCAAAATAGTAACTCTCCTAAAATTACTATTTTGCGAAATGAATAAAAATCCTTCTTGTTAATGAACGATTACTCCAAAATCCTTGTGAAAGTTATCTTTACCTTATTAGAAAATATATCTGCATTATTTCTTTTGTTTTATTTCATCTGACCCGATTTCGTTTCGTTTCGTTTCGTTTCGCAAAATAGTATAAGCCAAAAAACGATTGATATCACATGATGCAAACACTTTTTCCAATACCTGTTACACCTCGGTATGTAGTTATTGCCATAGATAATCCAGACAAATATCGGAATCATCCATATGCGTATTCTCATACTTAGCAACGTCTAAAACTCTCAAAGGGATAGAACTAAAGCAATTTTATGTTTTATTGGTTTTTCTTTTTAGATCAATGCCGTATCTTAGCATTTCCATCCACTCTGTTCTTCGTAGGGGAACGTCTAATTAACCACACCATAGCAAACATCAGTGTGATTGACAGGGAACTGTGTGAATATCGTTGCTACCTGCTCCATAACTGTGTTAGTGTTAACTTTTATTTTGGACAAAATGGAGCAGAAGCACACAACTGTGAACTAAATAACTCAACGAGTAAAGAACACGAGAGGGATCTGGTGAAAGCAGCGAGCTACGCATACCACGGGACGAATGTGCGAGCTATTGCATATCAATGTCAATTCTTTGGCGTTTAGCATTGGATTAGAGCTGAAGGCATATTTTTTATAATTGGATTATGTCCAAATCATGTATTATTTCTACTAAGTGCTATAAAGGATGGTGCCATTTAAGTATCTCTTATAGACTTAATCCGAAACAATACTTAATAACTACTCACCTGAGTGGAAATGGCTGGTGGTGGCGGAGTGGCAAAGTAAATATCCAACTCTAGCCACCGACACGGAGGTGAATAGCTGTTTTAGTGCATGCTAAAACAGCGGGATAATAGACAGAAATATGGTTTTAGCTTATTTATTCCTGCATGATTACTACTTTCGGGCGCAAATCCCACGCAAATTGCTAATAGCAAGTGAATAGCAAAGGATATTTGGAGTTTGAATAACCAATCCGAGTGCTCCTTAAACACCATCTACTTATATACTGAAGTTTGTTGTGGTTCCTGAAGGACGCTCGAGGCCATTCAGAAGAGCACCTCATTTTCCACGATCTTTTGCATATGTTGTCACCCAAGAGAAAATAGAAATCCCATGCTAATTCATTTTGTTTGATTCATGCTAAAGAAACCTCATGAAATTAGTCCTCGAAGTTTATCTCTAATACGGGCCCTCATTTCGATTACAGTAACAGGCTATTTTTTCCGTTTTTCTTCAAGAATTTTTGTGCGCAATCACCATGCAAGAACTACGGAACCTGTCAGTCGGGTTTTACAAAACAACGGTATCGATGTTTATGTCCTAAAGGATACATCAGCCACGATTGTGAAACAGGTAAGTCCAAAAAATAAAAGATAATTTGATTTTATCAATAGAGTTGATAATGTAAATTGGTTGCCTTCTTCTTATTAAACATATTAACATGAATAATCTACTTTATTAGTATGGGTACAAAACGACTCAATAAATTTGGTGCCAATCGACCAAGCCGGGTACAAAGCGACTGGGTACGAAACGCCCTTGGTATAACAAGACTGGTAACGGTTAAAATATAACACCACCCAGATGACCAGGTCATCTTTCCCTTATCCCTGTTGATCTAAGTTTCAAAGAGTAATTTGCTTGCGTTGTTTTTGCCATCTTTCCTTTGAGAGTTATGGGCAATGAGAATTGTCGATCGTTGTTCCACTGTTGACTAGTTGGTTTCGGCCCTAGTCTTATCAGTGTGTTAAGCTTTTGGGCCGGACATTTTTCTCTTCGGTACCCTTCTCTGTCAGGAAATGGAATTTTAAACAAGATATAAAACATGTCTAATTTCTTGAAGGGAGGCAGACTTCAGGGACCTTCAGGGTGTTGCTGGTGAAAAAGTTAGTTGGCTTTACATTGCTGTGCAAAAGTAATGCAAACGGTTATCGTCGTTTATCGCGCTTTGTTCTTCCGATGTACCGCCGATATATCGGCGATATATCGCTCATTTTCTTGACACCTTAAGGACGATAAATCGACGAGATATCGGAGCTTTCCCGCAATATCTCGTTCCGACGATAAATTGTTCCAACGATACATCGTTCCGGCGATATATCGCTAAAACGATATATCGTAGAGCGTGCAGAACATCATCACGATATATCGCTTCAGTGAAATATCGTATCAGCGATTTATCGCTTAATCAGGAATGACTCATTGCGATATATCGTTCTAGCGATATATCGATCGCCTTAGCGAGTTTTCTCATGACGAGAAATGCTTGTCTACCATATCTCGAAATAGTTATTTCAGATTCCTCCCCCATTTTTTTTGGTACATATAAGTTTTTAATGTTATTTTAGTGCGTCAGCAAAGCTAACATTCAATGACAGCGTAGTCAATAGGTACATGTAATTATACTGAATGCAGCCAGTTTAAAATGGGGCTTTATTTGAAGCTCGTTGCAGCATTGTGAAAGGGGGCAGGCCACAAGGGAAATATTTAGATTTAATATTCGAAAAAAGACGTTATTTTATAAAACAAATGATTTTATTAAAGTATTATTCACTACGCCTTTGGATGAATTTTGTAAATCAAGATCAGTTTAGTTTGGGCGCTTTTCTTTTTCATTTTTTCGCAAATGCTGGCAGCGTTTTCCGATGCTAACTTTGCACGTATCCCACATGCGGCTCATTTCATCAGTGCTGCGGCACTGGTAAGAGTAGGCCTTGATCCCCTCAGCTGAAAAAAAGAAAAGAAAAAACAAAGCATTAATTGTCGCAGCGTAAGGGGGGAGGGTGTTTCTTACTAGTACAACATACAAATCATAAAAGCAAAATAAAACAAAACAACATGAAAACAATTTGGTCGGAGAACATTATACATTTCATCGAAGTAAAGTAACAAACTTTCAATAGTATACCTTTTTATAGCTATGTCCGATCGAGACACTTCCGAATACTGACTTCGGCTTCACTTTACTTGAACGAATTTTTCTTTCAATGATTTTTTCCATTTTGGTTCTATGTGCGATGATGAAAACTGTTTATGTTAAATGAATTAAGCTTTCTTCTCTTATATAACAATCGAAGCCCGTAGATGAATCGAGATTTTTATCAGATGATTGGTTCCTAATTGGTGTTTTGTTCTCCATAACAATAGAGGCGTAGGCTTCATGAGGGCTTTTCATGTTTAAATTAACTACACGCGAAAGGATGTGAACAAAAGGCGTGATAAAGCGACTTTGATGGAGTAATTTCAGTCCTTTGATTGTTATGTGAGTAGTCGGGTAAATTGAAAGTGCTAAAATTCTTGTTTTTGAGTTTAATGAAATATGCACACATGCTTTATTTTTTGTGGCACTTGCTAAGAATAAGCAAGGAAACAAGGAATATCAATGCCTGATTCTGTTAGCCGTTAGTTAACCATACTGTTTTCTGTGGAAGAGCAAGGTTCAACTAAAACAAAGTTTTTGTCTCAGTTTTGGTCTCACGCACGCAAAAAAAGTAAACGTATTGATGGTATGAAGGCTATGCATGAGTAGTCTATTGTTTATTGTTTAAGAGAGCGGGTCATAAAAGTGCCAATATTATTGTTTGTCTGTTTGTTAAATTTATCAACAAGTTTTTGTAAGCGTAAAATAATAGGGTACATAAAAGGCAACTCTCACGGTGTATGTCGTGCAAAGATTGTTTCATTCATAAGATATCAAGATTATTGTTTCTTTTTAGTGTAAAAAAGGCATGTAGTCACACTTTAGTCATTTTAATAACTACTGTTAATTTTTTATTGGTCAATGACTTTTGACTTTTGAGTTGTGAAATCGATCTTTAAAATTGCGTTGCTGCTCCTTTTGCCTCCACTACCGCTGGGACGAGTTTCTTAAGCACATGGTCGATGTATTTAGCGCATTTCGCTTCCGTCACCCTCTCAGTTTATAGAGATAAAAGATTCAACGAGTCGCCCGCCAAATCGACGCAGAAATTGAACCGACTGTCAAGTCAAGCCGAATTTAATTTCGTATATGTTAATGGAAAGTCTCACCTTCTTTAGTTTAGGCGCCGCTCACGCTTCACAAGTCTACACAAAGACCGTAAACAGTGGTTTGTTTACTGCTCTGCTCGCGCTTTACACGACCACACAAAGACCGTAAACGGTGGTTAATTTCATTTTAGTACACATCTTAATGCTCAGTTTTACAATCGCACGTTTCTTAAATCTACATTCGTAGACGACCGGGTTCCGCCATAATAAAGTTTTTAAAAACATTCGAACTTAGATGTTTTAGCGCGTTGTTTTTCTAGCCATCGAGGACAGAATGGAAGGAATAATACAATGAACAAAGACTTTTAATAATTCCGATTTAAAGCTTTAACATCTGACTCGTAGGCGAACTGACATATAAGACGTAGGCGAATCGACTCTATTCGTAGGCGAACAGACCGTGGGCGAAACGGCCCGTAGGCGAAACGACCGGACACCGTTTTCAGTGGATCCAGTTTTCTGTATTTTGTTGATGATCCTGGTGACACTTGCAAGGCTTCCTTGTAGATTTTCGCGTCTCAAGGCTTTCAATATTTGTACGGGATAAAACACTTCCTTATGGAGACAAACAATTCTTTCTCTGGTATGTGAAGTAACCTTTGGCATGATTACGCTCAAACTGACTGTCAACGGTAGTGTCCCGCGGGTACATTATATGCAAATACAGGTTGGTTTCCATGGGGATGCAATAACACATCGCAACGCGTTAAAAAAAGTAAGCTTTGCACCCTCCCTCAGAACCGTTTTCACAAGCTGTCTTTTTCTCGCTCTCGCTACTCTCGTTTGTTCGATAGTATCAAAATAAATATAGTCTTTCTTATAATTTGTGTTATTTTGTGTAGTAGCGAACTTGCTTAACTGATGTGCAGCGAACGTGTGGCAAACTTCGACCATAGCCGACTCTGTATGTAGCGAAACTGGCATAAATTCATTATACTGCCCTTTTCACTCTGATGAAACAGACTTCGAATAGAATGATACACTAGGTTTACTTTCCTACTCGCTCAGACAGTATCAGGTTGATGAAAAATTCGCCGAGTGGCGCAATGTTGCCTCACCGATCTAACACTTGATAATGGCGATATCTTACCGACGCGACGATCTGTCGCTTAGTTTAAACGAGATATTGTTAGGCGGCGGCGATATATCGCTGAGCTCAAAAGATATATCGCTGAGCTCAAACGATATATCGCTGAGTTCAAACGATATATCGTTCAGGAAAAACGATATATTGCCCAGGGAAAACGATAATTCGTGAGGAGCTCAACGATATATCGGCGATATCTCACGGTTGTTAGAACAATAGCCCGGCGGTATATTGCCGATATATCATTCCAACGGAAATATCGCTTACATATCGCCGATATCTCGCGATTATCGCGATAAACAACGATAATCGTTTGCATTACTTTCGCACAGTACTGTACGTGGGTTGTGGTTATATCAATTCGAATTAAAGTGAGACAATTTTGAGGTATAAAAGTGAAAGACAGTTGATAATTTTCTTACGAACTTGCCGAATGTCAGGAAGTTATTATTAGATTACTTGCAGTTTTAAGAAAGCATGTATTGTTTTTAGTATGCTGTCGGCTATTGGGTAAAGGCGAAGTAATTCAGGCATGTATTTTACGTTGGCATTGAAAACTTATCTTAGTTGTTTAGTTTTGATTTGACCATCCTTCACGAAGAGTGTTTCGATATAACAAAGTGCGCCCAAGTGATAAAAAATAATACCAGCGAGATTGAATAGGTCTCCTGTCACTTCTCCTTATATTTCCTTGTACAGTTACAAGCAGTAAAAATCATCAATCGAAACTCCACTGCTGACAATTTGATTTCTTTGCAGATGTTGACGAATGTAGTTCTTCCATTCCCGCCTGTGATCCGAATGCCAATTGTCAGAATACTGAAGGCTCATTTCGTTGTCAGTGTGTGACAGGATTCTCGGGTGATGGGAAATCTTGCACCGGTAAGGTTATTTTTGAAGGCAGACGTGGTGGTTGCATAGTAAACACGGAGGCTTGGGCCCAGGTCGTTTAGGCGTGTTATGTTCTTGAAGAAGGTTCTTTATTTTCTGTTACCTTTCTGCAAGAAAGGGGCAGTAAATAGGTAGTAGTGCGGTTTTAGAAAATCGAATTAACAAAAGATTTGAGGATGTGTAGGAGGGGAGTGGAGGAAGGGAATATTAAATTGTGTTATTCTAGGTGTTGAAAAATAACATCACCGATATTGAAAAGATCTCATGTCACTTCTCCCTATGTTTCCTTTTAGAGTTACAAGAAGTAAAAATCATCAATCGGAGCTTCACTACTAACTATTTAATTTCTTCGCAGATGTTGACGAATGCAGCTCTTCCATCCCCGTCTGTGATCCAAAGGCCAATTGTCAGAATACGGAAGGCTCATTTCATTGTCAGTGTGTGATTGGATTCTTTGGTGATGGGAAATCTTGCACCGGTAAGGTTATTTTTGGTGGTGGTTGCATAGTAAACGCAGAGGTTTGGGTCCTAGTTGTGTTAGTGTGTTATGTTTTTGAAGAAGGTTCTTTACTTTCCGTTACCTTTCTGCAAGAAAGGGGCAATAAATAGGTAGTAGTAAATTTTCAGAAATCGAATTAACAAAAGATTTGAGAATGTGTGGGAGGGAGAGTGGAGGGGGAGAATTTTATATTGTGTTATTCCAGGTGTTGAAAAATAGTATTTATAAGTTACAAGCAGTAAAAATTATCGATCGCAGCTCCACTACTGACTATTTGATTTCTTTGTGTATGTTGACGAATGCAGTTCTTCTATTTCCGTCTGTGACTCAAATGCCAATTGTCAGAACACAGAAGGCTCTTTCCTTTGTCAGTGTGTAATTGGATTCTCTGGTGACGGGAAATCTTGCACCGGTATGAAGGGTTTTGGGCCTTGGTCTAACCGGTGTTATGTTTTTGGGCCAGACACTTTACTCTTTGGTACCTTTCTCCAGATAAAGAGTTTACCAGAACTGTCATGAAATAGAATTAGCAAAAGATTTTGTGTGTTTAACTTCTTGAACGATGGCAGACTTCGGGGTGCTGCTGGTGAAAAATTTAGTCGGCCTTCAGTTGACGGTGGTCATTTCTATTCTATTAAAGTTAAGAGTTTTTGAGAGGTGAAAGCGAAAGGTAGTTGATGATTTTCTTGAGAACTTGCCGAATGACATGTTTCCCGTATGGAGAATTAAGTAATTATCAAAAAGCTTGCAGTTTTACGAAAGCGTATATAGATTTCAGTTTTCTATCGATTATCAGGTATATCCTAAGAAATTCAGAAATGCATGTTAAGTTGGCATTGAAAACTTTTAGAAGGGAAAGAAAAAAAAGTAAAATACGTGTCATATACAGGACCCCGTTGGGCGCCTTAACTTGCAGGTAAATAGGAAGATAATTTATTGTTGGGGCTCCCTTTCTCATATAAAGCCTATTTAATTTAAATTATTCAAGTATATTTGAGGCCAGTGTGATCTCTGAGACCTCCAACACTCAGTCAAATGTATGTTGATTACACAGCTAGTAAGGAGGGCGCTCCTATCCGTTTAATGGGCGGTGGAGCAAGCTACGGACGCGTTGAAGTTTATCACAACGGGAAGTGGGGCACAGTGTGTGATGATCTATGGGACACCAATGACGCCAATGTGGTATGTCGTCAGCTTGGCTTTCCTGGTGCAAAACAGGCTCCTCATAGAGCTAAATACGGTGAGGGGTCTGGTTCAATCTGGATGGATGATGTCGACTGCCAAGGCGGAGAGGCAATGTTGTCTCATTGTACGTTTCCAGGCTGGCAAATAGAAAACTGTAATCATAGCGAGGATGCTAGTGTGGTTTGTAACAATTAGGTTGGTCGCTAACAAAAATTGATTCGCAAGAACCAAAGTTTTCATTATTTGTGGTATTGTAATGTACAACCTTACTGCGGCCTGCGCACATTGAAAAAAAGTGCATTTTGTTTCTGGGTGGAGCTTTCCAGTGCCTGAGACCACACTACAGTGGGGAATCAGAAATAATCGTTAAGAAGCCGAAGTAATTGGAAAGCACATGAAAACATAATCATAGAGATTCTGTATGTAAAAACTGCTTCTATACATATCTCATCAGCTTCTTCATTTTTTTTTTTGTAATATAAATGTAAGGATGAGAAAGTTATGAATATCTGATTTGTCATCATCCCACTCTTTTCTAAAGGTGGTGTTACTCGGGAAAATTGCGAGAACAATTTCTCGCGCAACACTGTTGTATGAAAAATCGAAGTCCATGCAACACGATACTGATAACAGCCGTAAAGCAACTTTTAATTTGATTAGGCAGCACTTTGTTAGCTTTTGATCTCGGTTCAAATATGTGCAACACGAGATGACGAAATTTGCAAGATAAACCGGCGTGACATGGCTGTTAAGAATTCCTTTCACTAGGTCTTCCAAGTTTAATAAGCAGGAGCTTGGGCTTAGACTTTATCATCAATGTCTAGTTAAAAATTGTCTCGTGTAGAAAATACTGTAGAGAATCGTACTGAAATCATGTTAGACGCTAAGAACATTTGCAAAAGACTGATTCTAATATGCCGGCGTAGGTCAGCATTTTATGTAAAGGTAGATATTGTTTAAATGCTCTTTATTTAGAAAACAGCTGTCGAATTTTTTTTTTGAGTAAAACTTTAGAAGAACTGGATGTTTTTAACTTAAGAAGAAACGCCAGGCAACAAGGGAATTGAAGTGATAATTTTAGCTTATAAATTTTACATTCATTGTGTTGCCGGTCCAGTAGAACAGCGTATAGGTAACGCTAATATTCCGTGTACGCAATGATTTGTAAGTGTCCAAGGAGACTCAATGCGGGAAACAGAGAGATAATACATGTAACTAGACGAATCTAATAAGCAGCATGAAGGGGTTGCCATAGACCTCCTAATGGTAAGCATGATTATCAGGATTTTGTTTTCATGAAAATTAGCGTTGTTAATCTTATCTCTGAGTGAAGATTCATTAAATTTGTATACATGTAACTGGGGCCAGAAAGGGTAATTCACATTAATGTAAGTGAATGAAAGTTAGTTTTGCCATGTAAGGAAGTCAAATGTATTTGGTAGCAGTAAAACTAAGGCCTCGTCTTGCTGTTAGGGTACTTTTTTTAGATCGCGCATTTAATCAGGACCAATTTGTATACCTTTAATAATCATAGAATATACTTGCTGTACGTGTTAGCGTTACTATGAAAACAATTAAATGTGACTTTGAACCATCTTTTGCGTAATTCTATATTGGCAGACACCTCGATGCAGTGATGCACGAGAAGCCTAAAATGAAAAAGACTAGCTGAAAATCAGCTACCAATGGAGTATTCTGTTTATCAGATAAGGAAAAGGTTGCATAAAATTAATGATAAGTTACCCTGATGGCGCTTTTTATGTTTCCCTAACTTGTGCAACTGTTTATCAGACTTTTGAATTACCGCCTTTTAAATCTAAGACGATACTTATATAAAACATTTTACTATCGAAGCATTTGAAAAATTGACAAATTTTTTGATTATTCGTCTAGTGATGGGAAATCTTGCACCCTTAAAGATATTCTTGAGAAATAGCGGGATAACTTTAACAAACGCAGAGGTTTTGGTCTTAGTCTTATCTGTGTGTTATATTTTGGGGCTATACACCTTATTCAGTCCCTTTTTTGAAATATGGGGACACAAATAGCTACCAGCACACTGTTAGGGAAATAGAATAAACAAGAGATTTTAGGAGGGTGGAAATGAAACAAAATAACAGTCAGAAAAAGTGAGATTTCTCTCCCTCTGTTATAAACGGTAGTAAATTCGTTTATTTCTGTTTATTATAATCATTTAACATGTTAAAATGAACAATCTACTTCATTAGTTTGGGTACAAAGCAACTCTACTAACTGGGTGCGAATCGACCAAGCCGGGTACAAAGCGACTGGGTGCGAAACGCTCCTGGTACAAAAAGCAGGTAACGGGTTGAAATATAACACCAACTAGCATAACCAGGTCATCTGTCAGTTATCCCTCTTAGCCTTAACTTCAAAGTGAAATTTGTTTGCGAAGTTTTTGCTATCTTTCCTTTTAGAGTTATTTGTAGTGAAAGGTATCAATCGTTGTTCCACTGTTGACTATTTGCTTTGGGCCTCAGTCGTAATAATGTGTTATGTTTTTCAGGCTGGACATTTACTCTCGCTTCCTTTCTCTGTCAGGAAATAGAATTTTAAACAAGATATTTAACATGTTTAATTTCTCGAACGGAGGCAAACTTCAGGGACCTTCAGGGTGTTGCCAGTGAAAAAGTTAGTCAGCCTCAAGTGGACTGTGGTTATACCAATTCAAATTAAAGTGAAACAATTTTGAGGCATAAAAGTGAAAAGCAGTTGATAATTTTCTTGAGAACTTGCCGAAAGTCACTAACAGAAATTAATTTATTATCAGAAAACTTGCAATTTTAAGAAATTATGTATTGTTTTTAGTATGCTGTCGGTTATTAGGTACAGCCGAAGTATTTCAGACATGCATTTTACTTTGGCATTGAAAACTTATCTTAGTTGTTAAGTTTTGAATTGCGTTGTTACAACGAATTTGAACATCTTTCCCCGAAACGTGGTCCGATAGACACCCAAGTGTTAAAAAAGAACACCACCAATCGGAGCTCCACTACTGACTATTTGATTTCTTTGCAGATGTTGACGAATGCAGCTTTTCTATCCCTGTCTGTGATCCAAATGTCAATTGTCAGAATACTGAAGGCTCATTTCGTTGTCAGTGTGTGACTGGATTTTCCGGTGACGGCAATTTTCACACTGATAAGGTTTTTTTTAACGTAGACTTGGTAGTTACATGGGAAATCCAGAGGTTTGGGCCCTAGTCATGTAAGTGTGTTATGTTTTTGAAATAGACTCTTACTTTTCGCTACCTTTCTGATAGAAACAGGCAAAAGAAGTAGTGGAACATTTTCAGAAAATCAATCTTATTCCTCTTAACCTCAGCTTCAAAGAGTAATTTACTTGCGTTGTTGTTGCTGTCTTTTTTTATCTGAGAATTATAGGCAGTGAAAAGTATCAATCTGTGATGCACTGTTGACTATTTGGTTTGGTCCTTAGTCTTCTTAGTCTTTTAAGCTTGTGGGCTCGATATTTACTCTTTGGTACCTTTCTCTGCCGAGAAAAAGAAATTCAAACAAGATATTTAATGTTATAGTTTCTCGAACGGAGGCAGACGTCACGGATCTCCAGGGTGTTGCTAGTGAAAAAGTTGATTGGCCTTAAGTGAACTGTGGTTATAGTGAAAGCAGTTGATGATTTTTTAAGGAACTTACCGAATGTCACGAACAGAGAATAAGTTATTATCACAACCCTTGCAGTTTTAGGAAAATATGTATTGTGTTTTAGTATACTGTCGATTATTAGGTATAGCCGAAGTAATGTCATTCAGGCATGTAATTTTCGTCGGCATTGAAAACTTAAAAAAAGTAAAAATATTTGGTTCCGAAAGCTCTATTTGACACTACCTGTTTACTAAGTGTTCATAGAACACATAGTATTGCAACGAGTAGAATGTTTCTTCTTTGGATCTATACCACGAAAGAGAAAAAAAAAAAAGAAAAAAGGGTGATCTCGTGTCGTAGTTTGCAGGTTTTTAATTTTTAGGTCTTTCGATAGGGGCTTATTTATATGTCAATTCTTTGCAGATGTTGACGAATGCAGTTTTCCTGTCTGTGATCCGAATGCAGATTGTCAGAATACCGAAGGCTCATTTCGTTGTCAGCGTGTGACTGGATAATCTGGTGACGGCAAATCTTGCACCGGTAAGGTTATTTTAGGCACACTTTGTGGCCAGGTAGATGATGCAATCGTTTGGACCTTAGCTCAGTCTATGTATAGTGTTATGGTGGCACTCTCTAGCTAAGGTGAAGAAATAAGCAATAAGAAGTAGGAAGCTTTTAAGGGAATTAGATGAATTGCAGCGAGGTTATTTTTGATAGACTGACAACCCATCTAAGAGGGCTTATGATACTATTATGGCACCTGTTTGCTGTTGCTTTGACTTTTTAGTATCCACTTGATGGGTTCTTCTTCCTTTGTATTCCTATTCTTCCTCCTCCTCTCTTTTAAATCACCTAAATCCACCAATCACAGAATTTATCATAGTAACCATAGCAACAACCACATATTGAAAGAAAAACTGGGGAATTTCCAAATGAAGGAATTTCTAACATTGTCTCCACCACAGATATTTGTTCTAGATGCATTTTTTTCGGAAATTGTTATGGTTATGATTAATTGGAAACAGGACTTCGTGTCGTCTATTCTGTCTGTAATAATACTCGTGATTGACAAATCGGACTCCCGCTTCGCGGTCGTCCGGTTTTGTCAATTGCCCATATGATTACAAACAAAAATTTAATCGATTTTGAAAATATAGCTTTAAATCTGACGGGTTCCCATACTGCTTTAACAGATGTGGATAAGTGTCAGACGGGATCTATCTCCTGCAATTCGAACGCTCAGTGTGTCAATAGAATTGGTTCATATGAATGTAGATATTGGCCCAGATATTTCAGTAATGGTCACCAGTCCTGCACAGGTAAATTACTGAAGTCCTTTATAGCAAACAGGAACAGAAAAGGTCCCAATTCTAAATTTTTTTTGCAAGCAGAATTAACTATGAAGGTCTCAAAGTTTCTTGTCTCAGAGGTATCCTATGGCCAATTAATTATATCTCTCACTCAGGAATCATTTTATTTACGTTCATTATACAGTCATTATCCGTTTAATGGGCGGTAGAGCAAACTAAGGACGCGCAGAAGTTTATCACAACGGGAAGTGGGGCACAGTGT